ATACGTAGCGATGTTGAATGATTTCTGGTGGTTCCTAAAACGCTCCTTGAAGGTTGTAGCCGTAATTCCAATATAGTGCCTTGTTTCTCCGTTGTCCTCCGCTGCGATCTTTGCATGGTAGACAATGCCTTTGGTTAAGTATTTCTTGTTGAGAGGACACGTATTCTTATCTCTGCAATTGCATGTTTTGTTGGTGTGTGGCACTGGTGTTGGTGTTGGTTTTAATGGTGGTGTTGGCGTTAACGTTGGTGATGGGCGAGATGGTGATGGGGGAGGTGGTACTGGTGATGGCGCTTTTGAAAGGATCTTATTGTTATGGCTGGATATCACGGATTTCACGTTTTTCAGGATCTCTGCAACATTTGGATCTCTGCAACTCATATAGCTGGCAAGGTTAATGTTGAGGCAGATAGAATGTCTCGAGTATTTCATGATAAGAATGAGTGGAAGTTAAATAAGCAAACATTTCAGAACATCTTAACAAAATTTCCCAGCCTGGAAGTTGACTTGTTTGCAAGCCGAGTAAATTTCCAACTTGCACAATATGTTGCATGGCGACCAGATCCTGGGTGTATTGCAGTTGATGCTTTTACATTAAACTGGGATACTAAGATGTTTTATGCCTTTCCACCATTTAGTTTAGTTCCTCGTTGCTTGCAAAAGATACTACAAGACCAAGCCTCAGGAGTACTAATCGCTCCCTTCTGGCCGACCCAGGCCTGGTTTCCACAACTATTACAGCTACTGTTCGATCAACCATGGATCCTCGCACCATCAACAAACCTCCTGCAGCACCCAGTTCAGTTGATATCACATCCACTAGCCAAAACCCTTCGCCTGATGGTTTGTCCTGTCTCCGGAATCGCTTCGCGGCAGATGACCTTTCAGAAGAAGTTACAGATATCATTATGTCATCTTGGAGAACAGGTACCAAGAAACAATATTCCACCTACATCCAAAAGTGGTTGGACTTTTGTCGTCAAAGGACGATTGCTTGTCATTCACCAACAATGAACCAAGCTCTGTCGTTTTTGAGGATGTTGTTTCAACAGGGACTGAGTTACTCTACTATAAACACTGCACGTTCAGCATTGTCAACCATAATTTGTTTGCCAGATGGTCAGGGTTTTGGATCCCATCATATAGTTGTCAGGTTTATGAAGGGTATATTTGAACTGCAGAAACCAAAACCTAAGTACAATTCCATATGGGATGTCTCTGTGGTTTTAAAGTATCTGGGAACTTTTACACCCAATGAAGAACAGACACTAAAAAATTTGACGTTGAAGTTAGTTATGTTATTGTTACTGGTGACAGGGCAGCGAGGTCAAACAATACACTGTCTTAGTCTCAGTAAGATGACCTTAAGCGAGACCTCATGCGAGTTTCAAGTTCTGGAGCATATGAAGACTAGTAAGCCAGGATCAGGGACTACGATCCTCAAGATTGAGCAGTACACACCTGACAAAAATATTTGTCCTATCTTAGTTTTAAGAGAGTACCTAAAAAGAACCAAAAGTGTACGTGGGGATAATAAGCAACTTTTTGTAAGCTATCAAAAACCATATCAACCTGTGTCAAGAGACACAATATCAAGATGGGTTAAAATTGTCCTTGATAATGCTGGGATTGACACCACAGTATACTCGGCACACAGTACTCGCGAGCGGCTGCCACATCGAAAGCTTACCAAAGTGTACCATTGGACATATTGATAAAATCAGCAGGTTGGAGCTCAGACAGTACATTTTAAAAGTACGATAATAAGCCTGTAGCCTCTGATATAACTATGACTGAGGCAGTACTTACAACATGTTGAGTTGATAATAATATGGTTTTGTTCACCATGTCTCATGCCTAAATTTGGTATATGTCATTGCTGGGTACATCAGGGCTTTAAAGTCTCATGCGATCTCCTGACTCGGTGCCATGTGATAGAATTGGAAAATTAAACGAGACTTACCTGTAAGTTGAAGTTTGATTGGAATTCTATCACATGGCACATAGAGTCAGGAGATTACATGCCCACCCTGCATCATCAGATGTATAATATATGTACATATTATATTGCCCATGTCCCTACTTTGGGTTTATCACTGGGTGTATTGGAATTATCAATATCACTGTGTGTATTTGTACTGATGAACCCAGCAAAATGCTTTAAAGAATGAACCCGCGCATGCGCCGTGCTATCTCATGTAATCTCCTGACTCTATGTGCCATGTGATAGAATTCCAATCAAACTTCAACTTACAGGTAAGTCTCGTTTAATTTTCCAATTAATTTGCAATTTAAATCACCCGTCAATCAATTTAAAACACCCGTCGGCTCACGACCATTTTGAAACTTTTCGCTACAGTTACATGCAATTACCTTACACATATCATGCATTAACAATTGCGCGAAATAAAATACAATTGAATTTAACTCCTTCGTTTTTCAAAGACAGTGTTTTAAAAATTAATATGCTAAATTGTTCAGCCTATTCCTGACGAAGGTCCTGAGCCAAAATATTAAGGAAACGTATTGTTTTTAATATCTTCCAGGTTGTCGGGTCAAGATAAAAACAGCGTCGGCGGGCGTGATTAAATTATTATTCACTATATAAACTATTCCAATAAGCAATTCAGAATTAAACAATTGTGTTTTATTATTGCAAGTAAAGTGATTTACTCAGTGCACGTCTGCATACTTGACAGAGTTTGCTCATTGGGGGGGGGGGGGGGGGGGGGGGG